ACAGCACAGCAGGGGCTGGGTAGGCCGGTTCCTGGCCGGGGGACCCCAGGGGAGGCCGTGGAGGGACTGAGGGGCTGCTGCTCTCTGGTGATCTCTGGGTTTGCCCTGGAATCCCAAAGCCTCTGCCTGCGTGGGGGGATGAGACAAAGGTGACTCTAAATAGCTTTATTGTTTAGTGTTCTGGTGCTGAGTTAATGCTTTTGGCTTGTTCTGTGTCAATTCCCAGCCTCACTTAGGGCTTCCTGTGGAGCATGAAGTGCTGCTGCTGCCGGGAGAGAGAAATCCTTTGGGAAGCTGGGATACAAACAGCAACTCTGTGAATTGCTCAGCTTTTCATAGGTAAGAGCAGGTTTTAGGGAAGAAACCCCTCTAGTGAGTAATCAGAACAGAAAGGTGGAAGCCAGGAGTCTTTGACTTCCGCAGTGCACGTAATTTTCTTGTGCTCCTCTCTTTCAGGACAGGGAAGATCATTGACTTGGGCCCAGCGATGCCAAATGCGTTGGGGTGTGAGCAGCCAAAGGCAACAGGCTCCAGCCCCGCTGACCAGCACTGGGGGCACCTGGTCCTGCCCGTGGGGTGGGGTAAGTCAGTGGGACACATTTCTCTTCTCCTGGCTGTTGGCATTAGCTCTTTGGGAAATGGCTCTGTTTCCCACTCCAGGCTGGTCTTTGCCATGTGTGCAAGGGAAGTGGCGAAGGGCCAGGTGAATGTGGGGTCACAGAGCTGTAGGGTTGGGCTGGGCTGAGAGGGGCAGGTCAGTCCCTGTTGGTGAGTCTGAGCATTGGTGTGGGGGTTCAGGAGGCCGGGGGGCCAAGCTTGGGGAGTGTTTGCAGCTCTGCCACGGATGGAGTTGACACAGCGCTGGGGAAGAGCCTGGAGCTGGGCTGGGCCGTGGGAGAGACGCAGGGGAGCCGTGGGAGGGTTTGGGACTCCCTGGAGGGAAAGGAGGGATGGATGGGCTGGATGGAGCCACGGGCTTGTGCTCGTGGCAACACACTTGTCTAGGGCGCCAGGATCCGGGTCAAACTCCAGTTACCCTCGTGTCCAGGGATGCAGAGTCTGAGGGATTGGATTTCCCTGTGGGTTTGCAGGACACCAGGAATGAGAGAAAATGCGGTGCCAGAGCTGTGTCCCACCGGGTTGTGTTTCCCTCTGAGGACAGAGAGCCTGTGGGCTGAGGTGAGGTTGCTGTGAATGTTGGGATGAGCAATGCAGGAACGAGGAGCTCGGAATTCCAGGTGCTGATGGAACCATTGCCTTAGGTGTGTTTAGTTTGTGTCTGTGGGAGCTGGGATTTGGGCTGGAGAGTTGTTGTTGGGAACAAAGGGTGAAGTAAACGTCTTCCACGGATGTGTAAGGATGGACTGAGAAGCAGGGAAAGGGAGTATTTCTAAACTGTATGAATATTCCCCTAGATGTGGGATGGAGCAGCGATGGAGGTGATTGAGTTTGTCCTGGGCCAAAATTCTCTTGAATGTTTTCAAGCAGAAGTGGGATGTTGCCTTGCCCTTCCCCAAAGCACTGCAGGCACATGGGAGTAGCTCAGTGCTGGCCCAATTCTGAGATATAACCATGTGGGAGAGGTTTAAGTCTTAATGACAACACTATTGTCTCTTGATGGCAAAGACTGGGCCTTACAGTCCCAGCCTGATGAGGGAGGACAGGAACTTCTGTTCTTCATGGGAAACCTTCTGTTACTCCTTATGCAGTTTTTTCTTTCCGTCGTAGGAGTTGCTGTCCAGAATCTCTCTGACAAAACCTATTGGAAAGTTAGAAGTAGGATTTGAATTTGGGTCTATTCCCTACAAAGTCCTGCAAAGCCTGAAAGTCAGGGCTGATGACTGCTCTTAACAAAGGTTTATTAATATTCCATCAGATTTCCCTCAGCTCTGGGCAGGACAGGTAAGGGTTAGGGTTGGCAATTGTGCAAGTAAAACCCGTTGATTTCTCGTGTGCGTGTGTCAGTTTGGCAGGGCTGGGACAAGGAGGACTCGTGCGAGCACCTCCAGAGACAGTGGGAACAGGAGCATGCTACGGAGAAGGAAAATTCCAGGTGATGGGTGCTGAGCAATTTGTCCTTCCCTTGCCCTGTGCTCTGCACTTAGTTATGGGTCAGCTGCAGAAATTTCCTGGGGACCCTGGGAAATGATCCCTGGTCTGCTGAAAAGTGGGAGAATCCTGCTGTCAAAATGCAGCCCCTGAGGGGGGGCCCAAAAGAGCAGGACCTGGGTATACAAGCGTGGGAGAAACAAGGGAGAGAGCAATGTCTGGGTCATCCTCTGCGTCCAGGAGGGAGAGCACCAGCAAAGGCCATGGACTAAACCACTGAAGTGCTGTTGCCCAGGGAGCCCCTGCACAGCAGTGAACTTCCTTCTGCACTTGCTGTCCCTTTCCCAGCGGAGCTGAAGCATCAGGTGCAAGTGTTGCAGGGATGGAGCTGCCAAGGACAAACTGGGAGGGTGTTTGCGAAGCAAGGGGGTAGAATGAAGTCTTCACTTGCTTTATTTACCTCATTCCACAGAATTGGCACGAGAGGAAATACCTCAGAGGGGCTTACCTCCAAATAAGCCCTGAATATCCCAGGAGGTTTCAGCTGGGAGAAAGAAAACCACCCTAAAAATAGCCAGTGGGGATCATCAGGTTTTCCAGCCAAGGAAAACAAGGACAGCGATGAGGGAGTACTGTTCCAATTAATAATGATTTGATGGGAATGAATTCTGTATGTTTTACAGTCCTTTTTATTCCTGGAATGATTTTAAAATTATGGCCAAAACAACTAATTTGGAGATTTTGTTTTTGAGAGGAAATGACACAAAATAAATGCAGGGAGAGAGTGTGGAATCATCCTGGCATCCTGGAGTGGTTTGGGTTGGAAGGGACCTTGGGGATCATCTCCTTCCACCCCTTGCCATGGGCAAGGACACCTTCCACTAGACTGTCCAGCCTGGCCTTGGACACTTCCAGGGATGGGGCAGCCACAGCTTCTCTGTGCAACCTGTGCCAGGGCCTCCCCACCTTCCTAGGGAAGAATGTCTTCCTGATGTGCGATATTTCCCTTTTTTCTCTGCAGGAAGTGGGCTGTGACAAGGGGATGTCCTCCCACTAGGCTGAGGATCAGGGTGAGCTCTGCCCAGGGGATGACTGCCACTGCTGGACAGGGAAGAGCACCTTTGCCCCCACCCCCGGCAAACTGGGAAGGAGTAACATCTGCCTGCAGCTGGCTGGAGTTCCCGTTGGCTCTGGGCTTTCTGTCCACGGGCCGGGGATCATGGCCAGAGTCCTTCAAACCTGGGGAACAGTGGCCTTCACAGCATCCCTGCAGCCCGTCCAGGGCAGGCTGCTGCCCATCGGCCCCTGAT